CCCCACCCCGCGTAGAGTGCCAAGCTCCCGCTTCTTCCGTCTCCGTTGCTCGTATTGTGCGCGGCGCGGGCCCAGCGCGTCGGGTCGGCAGGTGTCGCTGTTCTCCCCACCCCGCCTCGCCTCGCCCCGCCACGGCCCACGGCCCATGGAGATGAATGAACTCGGGTGGCGGAGCAGCGGAGCCTGGCGGACTAATGAAGCAGGCATCTCAAGGCGTCCTGCCGTAGAGCCCTGCCTCGAGCAAGCAGGGAGGGAGGGGGCGTGTTTTCCTTATTGTTATTCTCGTGCGCGTTCGGATTTATAAATAAGTGAGGCCTGCTTTCCCTGTTGTCCGCCAAGCGTACTGTGGAGTTAGTGAGAGTTCGGCGAGGGACGCGCGCAAAACAACTGGGAAGACTTTCGGAAAGCCGAGGATCAGGAATCAAGCAGCGTTGTTTACACACGGGCCGACCAAAGCTGGAGACCTATCGGAGCACGGCCCCACCTGCATGCGGGCGGGCCGGCGGCCCACAGCGAGGTTGCCGTCCCCGCAGGTGGGTCAAGCCCGCGGCCCGCAGTGCAGCACCGCCGCGCCTCCAGGCTCTCTGCATGAGGGCTGACTAGGCTCAAACTGAGAGCGGCTGAGGCCGGCTGAGGGCCCCCCGGGGAGCAACCGAGCAGCTCGTTTTAATTCTGTGCGTCGCGACGGATGGTTGTGGCGGCGCTGGGCGGGGCGTGGCGGGGCGGGGTGAGGCGGGGTTGGTCCCCTTTATATTTGCGTGAGGCAAACAGGCCCCCCTGCCCGTGTGACTGCGAGGGCCGCCCACGAGGGCCGCCCGCTGCCAACACCGGAACCCACCCCGCCCCGCCCCAACCTGCCCCACCACGCTCCAACCGGCTCCACCCCACCATGCCCCCAGGTGGACTGAGGTGAGGCAGCAGGAGCCCTGCTGGGCTGGTACTACGGAGCACCGCTTGAGGGGGGAACTCGGCGGGGGCCTCGACGAGGGACTATCGGGGAGGAAGAAGACACGTGGAAGGGGCTATTCTGCGAAAAAGGAAACCAGACCGGAACCTAAAGAGGAAAATAACGACCGCCGCGAACCGCAGCTCCCGTTTACTCCCTGAACTCCGATAATTGGTCAACGGTGAGGTCACAGGACGAGACAAGAGTGGCATTCGTCCTTTACTTCTTTAGTTTCTCGTTTCGTTCGGCGGAACACCTTCATACTTTCAACCAATGTCGGTTTTTTAAAGGTGAGGGAAGCGGGGACCATGGAGAATGCACCAATGCACCAAAGGGACCGATGCACGCCCTGCTCAGCTCAGGCATGACCCGCTGACTGCGACTGCACCCTTAACCTCGTCCTCGACGGTGGCTTTGTCCCCGTGTATCGCGTCAAATCAGCTGTGGGCTCGAGGAGGAGGAAGGGAGGGGGGTGTAGGGTAGGCCGTGCGGGAAATCAATCTCGCAGCCCGGCCCGGGCGGCCCCGGTGACCCCGTTGACCCTGGTGACCCCAGTGCTTCCGCATCACATTCCGCGGCGATCCCTGTGGTGCTCGTCCTGATGCTCGCCCGCTCCCCTCGGTATGATGTAGTGGTCTTGCAACCTACCAGTCGAACTGGCCGAACCGGCCAAACTGGCCGAACCGGCCAAACTGGCCGAACTGGCCGAACTGGCCGAACTGGCCGAACTGGCCGAACTGGCTGAACTGGCACTGTACCAGGCCCAGACACTCGGACTGCTCCGAAAAATAAAAGCCAGAAGTTAGTTTCCAGGTCCTGCTGCTTGCCGAGCCTGGCCCGGCTGCTACTGGCTGGCGTGCACGGCTGCAAC